CAGCCTGACCAACGGCCGCCGAACCCTCGCGCCCGCGTTCCGGGCGGGCTTCGCCACAGTGGTGCAGCGGTCGGGAAGGGGGTCGAGCCGGGAAATCTTCGGGAGCCCCGAGGACAGTGAAGGGCTGCCTCCGGGTGGGGGGAGACGCGTCTCGGGAAGCAGAGTTGGTCCGGAGCGAGGCGGACAGCCCTGACTGCGAGGGACCCCGCGCCGCCCTCGCGCCCTGCTCTGGTCTAGGCCTCTGAGCCCGACGGGGGTGCCCTATGCTGTCCCCCACTCCACTCACGGCTTGGGTTCGCTCCTGTCCGCGTATGGGGCCAGTCGCTCTGGCCCGTGTCCCCATGTCCTTCAGGCCTGGCCATCCCCGCCCCGCCCTCACCGGGAACCTGACACCCACTCCCAAATTTGGGTTGAGAAAACAGATGTGGGGCGGCAACCAGAATCCCGTCCTCTCTGTGGTGGGAATCAGGAGTGGGGGCGGGCCGGGTTTCTGCAAGCTGAGATTGCTGAGGTCTGGGAACCTGGGGGGGCCCAAAGGGTCTCACGTGAGGATGGTAGCATTAGAGCTAAAAATAGCTGAATGTAGGGAAAAGGTCATCAGAGAGTCAGCTGTGCTGCCTGTCCCCTGATCTCCAGTGCTCAGGGTTGGGCAGCCTCACCCCAGTGCCCTCTTTGTACCCCCATTACTCCCCAGCCCCGCACCCAAATCCTTCTAGTGTGTATCACTTCTAAGCTGGGGCCAGGGAGGGTGAGGGCAGGGGACTCCCAACTTGCAGAGTGGACCCTTAACCACTCCCTCATGCCCAGAGCACCAAATAGCCATGCTTTTCAGAAGGGGACAATGAGGCTCAGAGCAGTGGTCACTTTGTCAATCTGTGTGCATTCCCTGGTTGGTACTTTCTTTTTTTTGTTGGTACTTTCTGCCGCAGAGCTAAGACAGGGTGTGAAGGAGGAAGCTTGTTTATTGTCTTCAGGTACACAGCCCAGGGGCTCTCTCCCACCATCTCCCTGCTGTGGGGAGAGGTCAGCATTCTCAACCCCAGGTTCACTCCAGAGCTCAGCCCAGTCCCCAGAGCCTCCTGCTCTTTGCCCCTCCCTCCAAGGTCCTGCCCTGGAGGCTCCAGGAGCAATCTGAGGAGTTGGGGGCTGGAGAGTCAAGATGAGAGGTGGAAGCTGCTCAGCTGTCCTTTCTGCTGGAAGTAAAACTGGAACCGTGACTGGGCATACTCCTAGGGAAGGAAACCCACCCCACAAACCTGTGAGAAGGCTTGGGACTAGCACCCCCCTCTCCCCCAGCCCCAAGTCTGCCCACAGATTTCCTGGAGAACGCTGCTGCTCCCCTCCTCCCACCTAACTCACCCATCTGGGTTACTTACCAAGTAACCAAATTCTATGGTGGACATAGATGCCTGGAGGATAGACCAGAGACCCCAAAAGAAATGGGATGCCAGAGCGTATCTATGGAGAGCAGGAAAAACAGAGGGGTTCAGAGCACACTTTGGGTTACCTGGATCCCATCCCTGAGGCTGGTCAAGCCCCAAAGCTCAAACTTCTCCCCCACTGCCTTAACTCCAACCCTGTCCTGACTCTTCCCACTCTCTGCCCCCAGCTGCAGTCCCAGAAGTTGGCCTGACTGCCTCTTCCTCAGCCCCCTTTCCTCTGCATCCTGCTCTGCTGCTGCCCCACCCATCTTTCCTCACCGATTAGCCTCTACCAGCAAATCTTCTTCTAGTTTCCTCTGCTCCTCTTGGGAGACGGTTTCACCTTTCTTGACCTCTGCCAGGTAATGTCGAATAAAATGGAGCTGAGATTGACAGATGAGAGTCAGGAAATGGGGAGACGGTGGAGCATTTCCCAGTAAACACCCTTTCTCACCATTCTTTCCAGACCTCACCTTCCTTCTCCCTCACAGGCCAGGTCCTGCTCCCCAGCCTCCGGTCCACATACCTGCTGCCCCCGGGTGGGGTAGTCTGCAGGCTGCGCTTTGTAGAAAGGCCACTCCTCGTGAGTATAATCATAAACCCACTCACAAAAATGGTTCCCAATGTCAAAGCCCCTGGGGGAATAAGGTGGACACTCAGTCCCCAAATACCCTGGGCAGCTGGGATGCAGAGAGGAAGGCCTAGTCTGTTTTCCAGGCTGCTGTGGGAACAGACCCATGGAGGCCATCCTCTTACCCTCACCTGTAGTTGTAACTACTGTATTCGAAGTCGACCAGCATGAGTCTGTCGGTGTTTTCTGGCTCTGAGAGCAACAAGATGTTCCCTGGGAGGATGGGGTGGAGTTGTGGTCACTCCAGGGCCCTCTGGCCCCCCTTACCTTAGGAGATGCCGATGCTTTCTCCTACCTTCCTGGATGTCATTGTGACAGAAGACCACTGGTGATGGGGTAGAGTCTAGCAATTTCCTGCAGGGGAACAGGGGGCATGGGTCCTGAGCAGGAGTGACTAGAGGGTCAGTCACCTGTGGGCCAGGCCCTGACCCCAGCCCTCAGTAAATCCTGGGGAGGTACCCCAGTAGGTGCCTGGCACTGGCTCCTGTGTTCTGTTCTCCCGCCGTGCCTGCCCTCACCTGAGGTTGCCCATCTCATCCTTCAGGCTGTACGTCTCCAGCAGGTTCATCTGGGGGAGGCCTGTGGGGGGCAGGTCCTGGATCTGCTTTAGGTACCTGAAGCCCAAAGAATAAAATATGCTCCCTCTGTTATCCCTTCCTACCTCCTATTTCCCCAGGCCAGGCTGTCCTACCCGTTTTCCTGTCACTGTAGGACTTATCTGGCAGATTTTTCTGACTCGTCTGCCTTATTTGGAAGCCTGTTCTGTGTGAGAGTCCCATGCTAGACACTGGGACACCTGATCCACTCAGCTGGAGGACTGGACAGTCATGGACACACTCAGCTGCAGCCCAGTATAGTAACTGCCAGCATTAGGGTTCAGAACAGGTGTGCAGGAGCCCTTTGAAGGCTCCTGACTCACCGTTCCATGGTCCCAAACAGCCAGTGGGGCTCCTTAGTGAACGGCATCTCCATGCCATGGAACCGGGCCATCTTCGTGGCGATTTCTGCTGACAGCACCGGCTCTCGAAGCTCACAGGTTTTCAGCGGCCGGCTCTGCACCCAGGAACCTATCAGGGTGGTGAGGGGGCTGGGGCAGGAGGGGGAAGGGGTGGGGAATGGGGGTGGGGGAGGAAGTCAGGGTCTTGGGGAAAATGCCCTACCTGGGGGAAGGGACATGAGGGCAGACACTGGAAAGGGGGACAGGGTTGGGGGCAGGAGGTGCTTCGGGAAGGTCAGGGCCGGGCTGGGCTCGTACTGGGATGTACTGTTCCAGCCGGCCCTCTGGAAAGACTCCATAGAGCTGGGGCCCCAGCGACCGCTCTGCCAGGATGGCGAACATCACACTTTCCAGGACCAAGGAATCCACGCCCTGAAGGAAGATGGACAACCAAGGGGGCAGAGTCACGAGGGGCCAGAGGAAAATACGGAAGGGTCCGCTTTCTCCTCCCAGCAACCCCCCCCCCCCCGCCCTTCTTGCTCCATTGCCTGGAGACGCCAGAGCCAGGCTCCAGGAGGAGGACTGACAAGTTACTTGGCCCCGGGGGCCTCCGTGTCCTCAGCTGCGCAGTGGGGAGAATCCCCCCTGCCACGCTCGCTGACAGGTGCTGGAGCCAGCGGCCACTGCGGCCCTCGCTCCCTCCTCACCTGCAGGATGGCCCCGTACAGCCGCAGCAGCACCTCCCGGGGCTCCTTGCCAACGCTGGGCAGGTGGTCCGGCAGCGAGCAGCGGAAGAGCAGGTTACTGAGGCCTCCGCTGCAGACCCACACCAGGGCGCGCTCAGCCCGCGGCCGGCTGCACCTGTCCCGTCCCCCCGGTCGCCCCCAGTGTCCGCTCCGGGCCAGGCCGGCCCCGCCCCTGCCCCCCTCCCCCAGCCCCGCACGCGCCGGGCCGCAGCGACGCGGGGTCCCCAGGGCCCGAGCTCGAACCCTGACGCCGGCGCTGGCTCAGAAGAGCGGACCCCTGACCTCCCACCTCACAGGGTCAACCCTCAGCTCCTCGGGCCGCACTCGGCGCCAGGCCCCGCCCAAGTACTCCCGGCAGCACTGGTAGGCTCGGCGCTCGGCGTCACGCGACAGCGACGAGCCGCGCCGCCTGTTCGGGGCCGCGTCCGGGCACTGAGACTGCTGCAAGCTGTCCTTGGCCAGCCGGTCGCCGACAGCCCCGCCTCCGGCCACAGCTGTCCCCTCGGCAGCCATGGCGCCGGCGGGGCCAAGCCCAACGTCCAGGCGCGCTCAGGCCCCTTCGGGCGGACTCGGCTCCTTCCGGCTGAGCTCGGGTCGCTTCCGGCCAGCCTGCTCCTCTCCGGTCATACTCGGGTCTCTCCGGCTCTTTTCGGTCTTTTGCGAAGCCGCTCGGCTCTCTCCGTGACCCTGGTCGGGTGCCCTTTCCGAAGGCCAAATTCTGCGCGTCTCCGCCGTGTCCCGCCCCTACTCGGGGCGAACACCAATGACCTCTCTCTCTGGGCGGGGCCGCTCCAAAGACAGGCAGCTGTGAGGGGACCACGTGGGCCAACCAGAAGCGTCGAGAGCCGGTGGGCGCGCTGCCCTGGGGCGTGTCTCGAAGGCGGGTCACGCGGGTGGGGTGGTGCGTCCGCCGGCGGTCGGAAAACTGTCCTGCGGGCGGGAGAGGGGCGGGCGGGTGTTCGAGGGCGGGTGTTCCCGGGAAGGTGCGGGGGAGGAGAGATGGACCTTCGCGGGGCTCGGGGAGCGCACGGCGCAGCGCAGGCGGCGGCCCCGGCGGCGGCCCCTCAGTGGACAGATCTGCACGCCCCCCCCCCCCGGCCAGTCCCGGGGGCAGTCGAGCAAGGAAGAGAGCCACTGAGTGAGTGTGGGTCACACCTGGAGGAGGAGAGTGTGTGACTCACCACCAGGGAGTAGAGAATGTACTAAATAAGTAAACATTTGCTGATGAGTGAATGAGAGTTTGGGGCCCCTGGGACAATTCCGATGACTCCCAAGTGCCTTAAATCCCTGATCACCGCTGAGTCTCTCGTGTTAGTTGAAGCGCACCTCTGAGACGAAGCCCTTGTTGCCCTGTTTGCAATTAATGTCTCCACGCCCCACTCCACTACCCTTCTGCCTCCAGATCTAGACCAGGTAGAAAATCAAACCCAGGAGAAGGCTCACCTTGGAGCAGACGTCTCCTTGGCCCACCTGGGCAGTTTGAAGACGGATCAGACTCACCCCACCTTGATGGAGTCCCACCTTAAGTACATACCTCCTGCAACCAGAAGAGACGGGAGTGGCAACAAGAAAGACTTGACCCCCAGGGATCTGGGGCAGTGCTTGCTGGACCACCGTGTTCTTGGGGTGAAACAGATGGGCAGCTGACTGGAGTGTTGTTTGATTTGAATAACCAGAAAGAAATGAAGAATTTGTGATCAGAAGGCAAATGTCAGTTGCTGCAGTGGAAGATCATGATCCCTCACTCTGTTTAAATCTGAGCCAGTTCTGAGACCCGGAGCCCACTGTTTGAAAGGGGGGCTTGGTCCTTCAAGGAAGGATCCTCCAGTACCACCATAAGTATATGGAAAAAAATAGTCCTCCCGTCCTTCCCCTGACAGACCTAGAGCTGCTTAACAACTGACTTTGGAAAGAGACTATCCAGACCTTTCATGGGCTCTTAGAAACAGGATCTGAGACATTTGTGCCAAGGTACCTGAGATATTATGAGCCCCTGGTTAGAGTCGGGACTGTGGAGTCAGCTGATAAATGGAATCCTGGCCCGAGTCCTGGGGTTACCTTTTTGGTCCCAGTGCATACTTATGATGATTATACCTAGCAGTGAGCAGATCCTGACGCCTGACCTGTGGAATATGCATCATAGTAGGAAGAGCACAGTGGGCACCCCTGAAACTACCCCCACACCACCTACCCCTCTAGGATAGTAAGTCGGAAGCAATGCTGCATTCCTGGTGGAATTGCAGAGGTTGTGTCACTCTCAAAGACATAAAGTGGTGGTCCCCATTACATCTTCAGTTCACCTGAATGGCCCGTGCAAAATCCAGATGGATCCAAGTAAAGGGTGGTGAGCCACCACCAACTTAGCCAAGTAGTGTCCCCAGTCACAGTAGCTGTATTAGTTGAGATATTTTTACTGGAACCAATCAATTCACCTCTGGCACCTGATAATGCAATTATCCATTTGGTGAACATTCTTTTCAATTTCCAGTAGCAGAGAGTAAATTCCCAAAAGCAGTTCACATTTTTATGGGAAGAACAGCCAAACATATCCATTATCTCACTTCAAGGTGGTTTTAACTTTCCTGCTCTCTGTCACAATTTAATCCATTGAGCTTTTGATCATCCAGACTTCCACATAACACTGATCACATCATGCTGATTGGACATGGCGAAGAAGGAAGTGACAAGTGCTCTGCCCTTGATAAGACAGTGCAGATCAGAGGATGAGAGGGAACTCATCAGTAGTCATGGAGCCTGTCATCAGTGAAGTTTTCAGGGTGCACTATAGGGCAATATGATGATAAGTTGTTGCATCTTGCTCCTTATCACAAAGAAGGAGGCATAGCACCTGATGTACCTCTGGACGTTGGAGTCAGCACACTTGGGAAAACTGTTCTGACCCATTTATTGAGTGACTTGGAAGACTGCCAGTTTTGAGTGGTGCCCAAAGCAAGGGAGGCCCCCTGTAGACCCAGAGTGGATGATGGGTTCCCCTGCCACTTAGCAGAACCAGTGGGTTAGGGTTGGCCTTATCTGGGGTAAATAGGGATTCTGTATGGCACCTTTGGCAAGCTCCCACAGATTTGCAATGCACACTCTGAGGGTTTTGAAGCAAAACCATGCCTGCTGCAGTGGAGAACTACTCCCCAGTTGAAAGCAGCTTCTGGCATACTGCTGGACTCAAGTAGAGACTTAGTGCCTGATTATGGGCACCAGATGACCATGTGACCACATCTGCCTGTCCTGAGGTAGATACTGACAGATCCATGAAGTCAACAGGTTACGCAGGCTCAGTAGCAATTCACTGCACAGTGAAAAAGAGTTGGATCCAAGCTTGTCCGGAGAGCACCAGTCATTTACAGGAAGAGGTGGCTGTGGCCCCCATGTCTCCTACCTTGTTGCACCGATGCCTCTTTCTTAGGAGACAGGAAGAAAAATTCAGATCTGGTTCAAGGGTAGGTCGACTTGACATGTTGATATGAGCTTAAAATGAATCACTGCTGAACTACAGTCCCTTTCAGAGTGGCTCTAAAGGAAAGTAATGAGAGGAAACCCTCCAGAGGGCAGAGCTTTGAGCAGTACCCTTGGATATCCACTTTGTAGGGACAGAGTTGCGGTCTAAGGATCTGAGTGGTGACAGATGTCTTGCTGGCTGGCCAGGGACCTGGAAAGAGCAAGGGGGGAATACTGGAGACAAGTCTGGGAAAGAAGATGAGCCTATGGAAGACATCACAGATGTGTGCATCTTTGTGTCTCATGTTAATACCCACTGCAGAGGGGTCACTGAATGACAAAGTGGATGGACAGATGTCAGCCAGCTTCTGTCCTTGACTACCCCTGTGCTTGCATGGTGAGCCCGTGAATGGAGTTGCCATGGTGGCAGGAGTGCTGGTTATGTCCACTAACGTGGACGCTCTCTTATCAAGGCTAGTCTCATTATTACTGTGGCTGAATTTCTGAGCTCTTAGTAGCCAAGACCAATGCTGAGCTCTGATATGGCACCATCCCTAGGTGACTCAGTGACAAGTTGGTTTCAGCAGATCCTTTCCACCCAGGAGAGGGCATTGATTCACCCTTACTGGAATTGACACCTGCTCTGGATATGGGTTTGCTTTCCCATATCCACATATGCACAATGTCTCAGAGTAGTATCACTATCCAGACCTTAGAGAACCTTGATTTACCAACATGGTATCATGTATAACGTTACTTTGGATCAAGGAACTCATTTTACAGTGAAAAAAATACAACAATGTATGAATTGCCATGGGAGCCACTGCTTTTTTAATATCCTGAATTATCCACAAGCAGCCCATCTAATAGAAAGATGGAGTGACCTCTTAAAGACTTAGCAAATGTCTCAGCTCTGGGACAGTAGCCTGAGGAGTTGGGATATATACACTGAATTAAAGCCCAGTATAGGGGCGCCTGAGTGGCTCAGTCGGTTAAGTGTCTGCCATCGGCTCAGGTCATGATCCCGGGGTCCTGGGATCGAGCCCCGCATCGGGCTCCCTGCTCTGCGGGAAGCCTGCTTCTCCCTCTCCCACTCCCCCTGCTTGTGTTCCCTCTCTCTGTCAAAAAAATAAATAAAATCTTAAAAAAAAAATAAAGCCCAGTATATGGTGCTGTGCCCCAGTAGATACAATATATGGATCGAGGAACAAAGACACAAGCCTGAGAACCCAGGTGTTGGGACATCTTTCACCATCACTTTCAGTGACCCATTCATAGAGTTTGCACATTCTGTCTCTGTAACATTAAACTCTGCTGGATTTGGCCCCTGGTTCCCAGGTAGGGAACACTTCCATGATGAGACCTCCACTGGTTTGAGGAAAGGACACCCACACTGAGCCTCAATCTGAAAATTCCATAAGGTCACTTTGAGTTTCTCATGCTTGTGAACCAGCAGACAAAGAAGGAGGGGATAATTGAGGATGATTATGAGGAGATAGGGTTGCTGCTACTTAGGGGCCATCAAGAGTTTGTTTGGCACTTTGAGCATTTACCTGGGTCTGTCTGGTTGCTTCCATGCCAAGTGATAACTGTGAAAAGGCATTTTCATCAGCCTCAGCCTGCCAAGGGCAAGGCAACCAAGGGCTCAGAACCCCCCAAGGAATGAAAGTCTGGGTAACCCCATGAAATGCTGGCTGAGGGTGATGGAAGTCTAGAACAGGCAGAGAGGGGAGATAATGAGTATCAGTTAGAGCCTCAGGAGCAGCTGCAGTTGTGTGGACTGTTTTTGTTGTATTAAGGTTTGTGTAGAGGTTGTGACCAGCCTTTTCCTCGAAGACTCATGACCGATTGGACTTAACGTGGTGTCCGAGTAGATCTGAGGGTGAGGGCTGTAAGAGCTGGTCTTGACTGATGCCCTCAGCATACCTTTAATTACAGAGGATTTGCAGAGCTGCATCTCAGGCCCCTGCCGTGTGTCTACACTGTCTGCCCCAACCCTTCTCTGACACCACAGGAGCCCACTTGGCCTGCGTACCAGCACAGCCCAGGTCTCTGGAGGCAACCTCAGGGGCTGGGGACAGGAGGCAGTGGGTAAATAATTGGACAATCTTAGAAGGCATTCTGTACGCTTCTCAGGAGGCCCTGGTGAAGTCAAGGTTGTTACCCAGAGCTGTGACCTCAGGAACACCATGTTGTGATTTCTCCTTTCTCTTCTCACTCACCCCCTCCCTCACTTCTGTTTCATGGGATCACT